ATTGCCCCGAGGCGTTGTCGCCTTTCTCGATACGTTTCTTCTCAAGGCTGATGCGGGCGTCTTGAGCGTTGGTGTTAAGCTGATCGCGAAGGTCAGTCGTGGGGACGATCGTCTCATGGAAGATCTCCTCGTCCCCTGCCTTATCGGCCGTAGCATCCCCGGAGCATTCACGTTCGTCCTGAGTTTCATGGATCGCTTTGCCGATGAGGTTACGGTTTGACCTTGCTCTTCCCATTTTAGTTAGCTTGCACTTGTTAGCGACAAAGGATGCAAACTTGATTGTTCTAGCTCTCAATGAGAGCACCAAATGATAGACTATACGTCTAGAGAGAAGTGAGAGCTAGAGAGAGAAGCGATTTGTATTAATGAATTTTGAATCCTTACAACTACTCCCAAGGGGAGTATTTATAGGGAAAAGCGGGCTGGCTCCCAAGTCTTGGGCTTGGGGGCCCATTACAATATCTCTTGTATCGTTTAACTTTTTATTAATAAATTCAGGATGTGTTCCCTGGCACTCCCCCACCTAGTGTTGTTTGCTTCGGGTTTTTTTTAAAAAAAATACTTCGTATTAAAGAAGTTTCATTTTTAGTTAATTTTACTATACTTGTCACATCATCATATTAATTAACCATACTTGTTACATACTAATATTAATCAAATAACAATTGTTAGATTAAAATATTAAAGTAGTTGCATTTTAGCTAATTTTACTACTTGTTACATTATCATATTAATTAACCATATTTGTTACATACTAATATTAATCATATAAAAGTTGTTAGCTTAAAATACCATCCTCCGTTCCGTTTTAATCGCAACATGTTGAAAGAACGGAGGGAGTATTAAAGTAGTTGCATTTTAGTTAATTTTACTATATTTGTTACATTATCATATTGATTAACCATATTTGTTACATACTCATATTAATCATATAAAACATAGCTTAAAATATTAAAGTAGTTGCATTTTAATTAATTTTACTATACTTGTTACATTCTCATATTAATTAACCATATTTGTTACATACTAATATTAATCATATAAAAGTTGTTAGGTTAAAATATTAAAGTAGTTGCATTTTAGTTAATTTTACTATACTTCTTACATTCTATCATATTAATTAACCATATTGTTACATACTAATATTAATCATATAAAAGTTGTTAGCTTAAAATATTAAAGTAGTTGCATTTTAGTTAATTTTACTATACTTCTTACATTATCATATTAATTAACCATATTTGTTACATACTAATATTAATCATATAAAAGTTGTTAGCTTAAAATATTAAAGTAGTTTCATTTTAGTTAATTTTACTATACTTGTTACATTATCATATTAATTAGCCGTATTTGTTGCATACTAATATTAATCATAAATTCATACATTTTATTTATACTCACAGTTCAATATTTTATACACTTGTAGACTAGTCACATTTTAATATAAAAGACATTGTTATTAAATTATCATACTACTTACATTTTAATATAAAAGTCACATTTTTATTTTAAAGTCACATCTTAATTGTACTCAGAAATAAGTACTCACATTTTAGTTACATTAAACTCACATTTTCTTACATAAGTGATATTTTAGCTACATATTTATATTAGTTGCATTGTATTTGTACTCGCATTAACATATTTGTTAGAATTTAATATTTGTTACTCCTTCCGTCCCAAATTGCAAGGCACTTTACAGTTTACGATGTTCGACCGACGATAAAGCAAACGGATCCATGTTCGCACTCAAAATATTTTTAGACAAAAAGAATTACATATTCAGAAATTACATTAAAAGCTTTACAAAGTCGCAAAAAACAGAATTAAATTAAAATTAATTAAAATTTGATATATAAAGTAAGAGATTAAGAGTGATTTGTGTTGATCAAGTTAATATGAAAAGTATCTTAGGAAATGGGACTGAGGGAGTACATTTTAAGATGGAATGAGATAGACATCTGTAGATATGAGTAACCTCCAACGCAACCGAAAGAAAGAGATTGCGAAGAACCATCCTAATTCGCGAGGCAAAGGTAAAGGACCATGTTGGTTCTTCTTCTCAAAGCCAAGATGATTTTCAAACGAGTTATGACCGGAGAGATGTGATGTCCGACATGTAACTACAAGAACTATTGTCCCAATGGGATGGGCGGTTTTACCAACAATAACACATGCCCGAGATTGATGAAGAGCTTGAGGATGACGACACTGAAGAGGAGGACCCGGCGACAGCTGAAGAGGAACAAGGCAACGAGGAAACCCCCGACAAGGAAACACCCGATGAGGATGAGCCTAGTTCATCCCAACCCGGTAAGAAAGATGAATCTCTCCTTATGAAAAATAATTTCAAAAAATGGAAGGAACGAATAGCGAGAAGTGGTGGGCAACTTGCAACCATTGTAACAAAAACATAAGTTTGGGGGATTTCGCAAGGATACGACGGCGCTCATAGGCATGTGAAGGCCCGTCACCCCGTGGAGTATGCGAACTAAAAGGCAAGGGGACGCAAACACAAATATCTAGGTTTGCAAATGGCCAACCCTATGGTAACTTCTCTTATGATGATTCCAAACATTTAACTGTTATGTCTGAATTAATTGTTGAAGAAAATTTGTCTTTTATTTTTTCCGAAAGTCTTGCTTTAAAAGCTTATACTCAAGGTTCTTTAAATCCTCAATTTTGAAACCATAGTCGCAAAACCGATAAAAAAGAGGTTATAAGGCAATATGTTTTGGAAAAGGATATATTAACAACGTTTTTCACAATATTTGATGAACATGTTAGTATTTGTAGTGATATATGGGAGAATACTTATCATCACTTGTATTATTTGAGTGTGACTGTACATTATATTGATGCTAACTGGGATATGCATAAACGTGTTATCGCTTTTCGAGAATTTAATGATCGACACACCGATGATAATGTTTATATTCTCATGCATTGAGCGTATTTTAACTGAATATGATTTGATTGATAAATTTTTCGCTATTGATTTTGATAATGCTAGTAATAACACTGCTGTGAAACCTAGATTGCGTGAATTGTGTGGTCCTACTTTGATGGGTAGGTTTTTTCATCAACGCTGTGCATGTCATATTCTCAATTTATGTGTATAAGACGGTTTAACCGCACTAGGTGATGTTATGAAGAACGTGAGGGGAGGGGGGCGTATTAGACTGATTTGGGGTAATAATCAACTCAAAATGCAATGGTGTCAATATTTGAGGGATAGACGTGTGACTATTGTGCTTCTCCAAAAGATTTATCTATTCACTGATATAATACTTATAACTTAATTGTTGTACTTCTAGATATAAACTCCAATTTCCTGCTTTATTATAAGAAGTTGCTAATTATATTATAAACCCGACTGAGATGGACACTATGGAAAAGATTTGCAAAGTTTTGGTTTTTTAATAACGTAACTCTAACTTTTAGTCATGTTTATAAACTTATGGCAAACCAATTTTTTGTTGAAGCAGTTAATCTTGCGGGTGCATTTTCTGAATTTTCTTAAGCCCCTTATGTTCATTGATTTTGTGATTACATGAAAGAAAAGTTTTTATAATATAGTATTCCACCTAGATATGGTATTGCCTTTGTTCTTGATCCTCATTTCAAACTACTTGCTTATCAAAATTGTAGAGTACTATTATACTTGTTTTTTCGGTCCATTACCTATGTATTTTTTTGTTTTTTTACTGCAGGGGGTCTGGGGGAGGGGGCCTGGGGGCCTGGTGTAATCAGGGCTGAGACTCACTTCATTGAGTTTCAAACCCTTGTGTGCCTAGCGGGATTCGAACTCGAGACCTCTCACTAGGCACGGTAACCTCACAACCAGCTGGGCTGGAATATTTGGTTAGGTCCATTACCTATGTACGAATAGAGGCTCATATATCTAAAGAGCAATAATACAACGAACTTAGTAACTTATTTCAACTATTATTTAATGAGTTTCATCTACATTATGCTAACGCACCCCCTCCCCCGAAATCAATTGCTTCTTCATCTAAAGGAAAATCACTTTTCAAATCTACATTTGGTAATCTTATGAAAAAAAAGTAAATCAACTCCCGTTGTTGCACAAAGCTCGATTAACGAGCTTTTTTTAGGTCTAACGTTTCCTGTTGAGTATGTAGAAGGGGATGACTTTGACGTTCTTAAGTGGTGGAAGGAAAAAGAATCAATGTTCCCGATTTTATCGAAGAAGACGAAGAAAGTGCTATCAATGCCAGTATCATCGGTAGCCGTGGAACAAGAATTTAATGTAGTCGGCAACGTCCTAACCGATTATAGAACAAAATTGAGCGTGAAATCTCTTGAGATGCTCATTTGCTTTCAGGATTGGTTGAAGGCACGACGTAGAATTCAAGAAGTTTGCATTACCCTCGATCGCCACTTCATGGAAGAAACAACAATCGACGCTGGCGGAGATTCCGGCTGATTTTTACCAAATGTATTTAATGTTTGAAATTATTTTCAATTATCAATTGTACTTCATATTTCAATAAATATACATTGAATGTTTTCGTAGCACTTGTGAATTTAAAAAAAAAACAATTTAGCCCGGCTCAACCAGAAACCCGTCCGGGAAGCCCGACCCAACCCGGTCCCGATACATAACCGGGCCGGTACCGGGACTATTTTTACCGAACCCGGAGCCTGCCCAGTTCCAGCCCGGAGCCAGTCCGGATCCGGTCCAGTCCACCACTAACCCTGACCCCAGCCCACCCCAAATTTCAAAAATGTCCATATTTTTAGTGTAAAAAATTCTGTGTAATTTTTTTTCAAAAATATTCTTTGTACTGACCCAGTCCCGCCAAATGCCTGGCTCCGCCCCTGCGTACTAGATAGTAATTATTAGTCATATTTGTGTAAATAAGTTTCATTTCAATAATATTTCTAAAAAGAACTCATAAAATAATAAGCACCCACACATGTATTTAATGTTTGAAATTATTTTCAATTATCAATTGTACTTCATATTTCTTTTTTTTAAACCCGGAAGGCAAACCACCAAAATCAGTGGAGCAAATGTCGGGGAACATTTGCCGAGTTTTATTAATATAAGAAATCAAGTACAAGAAGAGAGGGGGACCAGACCAAAACCTCTCCAGAAGGGCATTCCTCTTCAAAAACAGACAACATCCAGAAAAAAATAACACAACAATGAAAATAAATAGATCCATTGAGGGGGCTATACCTGACCCAATGGATTACATCAATAAGTATGTCTAAAAGAAGCAAAACCAAATAAATCAGCATAATAAGCTTGTTGGGCTAATCTTGGCAGATCAGAGATATGCTTAAAAGAATGATGTTGGGCCGAAGCTTGGTTAGCAAGATAATGGGCTACCCAATTGCACTCCCTGATAACATGGGAAAATCGAATCCCCTTCCTGCGAGCATCTAGTACACTTTCCTGAAAATCAACCTTCCATCAACCCACTCCTGCATCTTCAATGTATTGCACCGCCGCCGCAGCATCCATTTCCACCATGAAACTAGAGAAGCCTTTTGAGATGGCCCATTTCGTAGCATATAACGCAACAGCGATTTCAGCTTCCAATGGAGAAGACGCAGCAATTGGGAAAGCCAGTGCAAACACCAAAATCCCATTTTCATCCCTCATGATTGCCCCTCCAGATACATCTCTAGGTAAGAATTTAGCATCGCTGTTAAGCTTAAAAGCTCCGGTGGGCCGCTTCCATTTCACTGCTTTGTAATGACCACCTTTGTACTTCATATTTCAATAAATATACATTGAATTTTTTTGTAACACTTGTGAATTAGTTTAAAAGAATTAATTTAGCACAACCCCACCTAGGCATGGACCGGTTCCAGTCTGCCCGGCCCGACCCACCACTGTGCGGGACCGGCCCGGCCCGCCACTGTGCGGAACCGGTCCGGCCCAGTTACCCAATACCGGCCCAGCCCGACCTGGGGGGTTTTTGGGCAGGCTCGGGCCACAGGGTTCTTTGGTAGCGGCCCGGGCCAATTTTTTTTCAAAGTGTCTGGGTGATAGGCGGGTTGGGCTAGGTGTTTTGGAGGGGTTTGAGGTGCGGGGGTGGGGGGTAGGAATTAATTAGAAAAGCAAAAAAAAAAGGTACCCGACCCGGCCCGGGCCCGGTAGAATCCCGAGCCAGTTCCGGACCTTAACCCCCAAGAAAAAAGCCCAATTTGGATCGGCCCCAAGCCCGGCCCGACCCGAAGCCCACCCGGGTAGCCCGACCCAACCCAATCCCGATACATAACCAGGCCGGTACCAGGACTATTTTTACTGAACCCACCCACCACCTGGAGCCCGCCCAATCCCGACCCGGAACCTAACCCAGACCCAGCCCGGTCCACCACTAACCGTGACCCCAGCCCACCCCAAATTTCAAAAATGCCCATATTTTTAGTGTGAAAAATTCCATGTAAATTTTTTTTCAAAAAAAATTATTTGTACCAACCCAATCTCGCCCGATGTCTGGCTCCACTAGGGATGGACTCGGGCCGGGTGGCCCGACCCGGAACCGGCCCGGGACCGGTACTGTTCCGGCCCGGCCCGACCCGGTGGCCTGGTCAGTGACCGGTCCGGGTAGGCCCGGCCCGTGGGTTTTCCGGTCCGGGCCCAGGCCCGGTTTGGGCCAAAAACTATTTTTTTTTTTTCAATTTTTTTTTAAATTTTCGGGTTGGGCTGGGTATTTTGGGCCATTTGGGGTGGTTTGGGGGGTTGGGGGTGGGAGGGGGGTTAATTAGGAAGAGGAAAACAAAAAAAATATAATGGGCCCGGCCCGGACCCGGACCCGGTGGTTACCCGGGCCGGTCCCGGGTCCACCATTTCTGACCCGCCGGCCCGCCCGGGCCTAGGCCCGACCCGGACCCGGCCCGGACCCGAGTCCATCCCTAGGCTCCACCCCTGCGTACTAGATAATAATTATTAGTCATATTTGTGTAAATAAGTTTCATTTCAATAATATTTCTAAATATAACTCATAAAATAATAAGCACTCACAAATGTTCTTTCTTCATCTTGTGTATTTTCTCTAGCTCCTCTCACCCAACTGGCCGTAAATCACGTAATAACATACATCGTTCAGGTTCTTAACCGGTACAGAAAGTGTAATTGCGTGTTTGCGTCAGAAAAAAAGAAACTTACAATTGTTTTACCAAGAGATTGAGTGAACAAACTAATAGGTTACAACTTACAAGTGTTTTACTTTCGTACATATAAGTTACATTGATAGACTCTTCTTGTCTTGGTTCAGTAATCCGCATGAAACGTCTTCAAACCCTCCAGACCCCCACCAACCCTTGCACTTTTATTCAAATTTTTAATTTTGGCCCCTTGCACCAAGAGAAGAGTCTCCTACAAAAGAATTGTATACAAAAGACCACAAAAATCTACAGAAACACTGAGCGCTCGGTGCTCTAGCCAATGAACATTCGTCGCGTGTGTGATTTATGGGGTCATCTTGACGAGAGTTGTTTAAGTGACCCCACAAACTATCCACATGACACATCACGAGAGTACTAGGTTTTCCAGGAGTGTCGAAGTTTTCCCCTCATCACTTGCATTGATTCGACTGTGACTGCCAATCCTCGAGAAGCTTGTCTACAGACGCCCCTAGTCTTTTTGCTATTGGTCCTGATTTAACAACATTGACATCTCCCCATTGGGAGCATGGGTCCATTAACCACGTGTCCCGGCCAGTGCACCATGCGCCTGGAGTGACTCGGTTATGGCTACGGTTGAGGATGTTCTTGTCAATCATATCCAAAACCGGCCCGTTTCTCTCGAACTGTCTTGCAAATGCAGCACCACTTTGAACCATATCGTCGTAATCTGATTTGTCTAGGAAATGGGGTTCCATCTTAGGCGGATTATCCCACACAAGATATCTCAAATTGCTATTGACTGTTGTGTTCTTGAACTCTAAAGAATTGCAAATAACAGAATGGAAATAGACTTCTTGTGACAAAAGAGAATTTGTAAAATACATCAGTAGGGTTCTTGGAAGATTGTCCCAACCAAAAATGCAGAACTCGAGGAAGGAACGGCTTAATATAACCCAAGGAGAGCCTGAAAATAAAAGGACACCAAAGAGATGATGACATCAATCATAAATAACGCTTTGTTTGTGTACAAGAAAACATTCATTTGAATGGGAATTGATTTCAGGTTTTCTTGTGCGTGGCACAAAAAACATTTGCTGGGAAATGTTTTGTATTTTGCTGTTTTGGCACCACAAAACATTTCCCCTTAATTCTTTAGTCTTTGTAGTAAATTACTTCCCATTTTGAAAAGGAAAGTTATTTTCTTGTGCATAGAATAACTTATGCTCCAGGAAAACAATTCCACAAGTTATATTCATGGGGTGGACCTGGTTTGCTCCTGGGTCCTTCAAGGGACAGAACCGGAACAGGAATCGAGCTAGGTATAGTCATTCCGGTTCTGGGTTGGTACCTGACCCAGAACCGTTTCTTAGCCTTACAAAAGATCTAAAATACTGGAACACATCTGGTCTTACGTAGTATTTTGGAGGTTCCTGAACTGTACTGCCATTTGGGCCTATTTCAGTACAGAGTCCTTTTTTCGGTTTGTTCTCCGCGCACATAACCGACTTGTTCTGAAACCAAGTACACCCCTAACCGTCTAAGATTGATTTCATCATATACCTGTTTTCTATAATAAAAACTAGGCGCTAGGCACGAAATGACTGAGGCCCAGTACTTAGACAGGACCAGGGTGGGGTCAGGAGAAGCATAGCGGAGATAAGATGGCATAAATTCATGAAAAGAACATAAGCAGGCAAGAGGACCTAATTCCATTTGTGTGTAGGGGATATCATAGAACAGAGTTGCATTCACACAAAAGAAATATTCCACTTTTGGTCCCATGACTATTATGTCCTTCCTTTTTGTGGTCCTTAACTTTCATTTTCCATTTTTGATATGACAACTGCGGGTTTTTGTCAATTACGGTCTTTCTGGCCACTTTATTCAGTCAATTTGCAGTTGATTTTTACCAGAAAAGTGGCAAGAAAGACTACAAGTGACAAAAAGATCTGGTGGGGGGGGGGGGGCAAAATTGGAAACATGAAAGTTAAGGACTAAAAGCAGGAATGGTATAGTACTTGTGTGACCAGGAGTGAAATAGTTTCCACACAAAAAGCATTGTGAGTCTGTGACTACTGACTATGGTGGTAGTATAAGGAAGTAACAAATTAAGAGAAGAAACAATGTGATACCTGTGAACACTGTAAATGAATCAGGCATGGGTCGCTTTTCAGTTGCATAAAAGATTTGGGTCCTCCTAGCCAAGTAAATCCCTGGATCAACAACTATTGGACGGATTCTTTGATCCCTACACCCACATAAAATTTGTCCAGCATAAATATACAACACTCAAAAGTTTTACATCTACATACACACACACATTACTGTACTGTAGTTTAGCTTTGCCTACATTTTCCATCCAAGATCACTGGAGTGATCAATAAAATTCAGATCTCTCCTAACCTTTGAGAAGACATGGGATAGCTCTGGAGAAAAAATAAACAAAAAACAAAAATAAAAACTTTAATTGTTTGTAGCAGTTGACAAGATGAAAAAAAAAGTAAATACAGTATTAGAATAAAACACATTCACAAGCATGAAATGCATATAGTACTCTACAAGCATAGTATCGTTGTAAGATCAAAATGCACCACCTAATGATTAGTGGCCATTGGCCAATAATTATTTTCCCGGAATTTTATCAATCCGGGACCTGAAAGATAGACGAACTATCAATTCGGGACCTGAAAGATGAAATGTATCGGTATAGGACCTGAATGATGGAAAACTATCAATCTAGGACCCGAATGATTCAAAACTATCAACTTAGAACCTAAGTTTTCATAAATCTTATTATTATTTTTATTTAAAAAAATTTAAATATTATTTAGTTTTATTAAATTAATAAACTTTTGTGAAGAAAATTTCACCAAATATTAGCAATGCAATTAATAAAAATTAAATAAATCAAAACCTATGAAATGTTAGGTCCTAGATTGATAGTTTTTCATCTTTCGAGTCCTATACTGATACATTTCATCTTTCAGGTCCGGGGTTGATAATTCGTCTATCTTTCAGGTCCCAAATTGATAAAATTCCTTAAACATAATATTAGTACACAATTTTGGTTTTCTTGTAATGCCCCCATTTTCAAAGTCCCTATACACATGTCACAAATTTTTAAGACATTCAGCAAGACCAGTTGAATCAAACTCCAACATCTTGTATTATAAAAAAAGGATCAATCCAAATAAAATATGAATCGCATCATTATCCAATTGCCAACAAAGTACTCCCTCTGCCCCCCTTTTATTTACTCTGTTTCCCCTTCGAGACGTCTATGAATAATCTTCCAATTTCCTTTTGATGAAAGAAATGTGTTGTTGATATTGATTTTTCCCTCTCTAAATATCAAGAACACAATTCCACTTTGCTTAACTTCGTGCAAAGTCAACTGGGGTATATTAGTATATAAAAAGGTGAGAGTAAAAATATTTAGCCAACACCAACTTGTCCATTCTGAATGGCTACCCAGCTAAAATGCAATTTTATTTAAATCATGATTTCTCCATATAACCCTCCCTCAATCCTGAAGAAAAAAAGATAAGAAAGATTATTTCAAAAAAAAAGATAAGAAAAAAATGATGGGAAGGAAAATGAGGAGAATGTTACAATTCCTTTCCTCAAGGAACACCGTACATATTATTTAGCTCATCTTTTTTTCTCAGTAAATTTAAAGTCCTCCATCTGTGACTCTTCCCTTACTTCGCTCTCATCCAATGACAAATTTTATCTTTCTTTCATTAATTTCCTTCCTATTTTCTTTTCATTGCAGCCTATCCATCCCAACACAACATTTTAATGTTTCTTTATATCTAGAAATTAGTTGGTTTCTTTCCAATTCTAGCATTTTTCATTTCAAACTAGAAAAGTCAGCTGCAAGTAGGGCTGCAAACGAGCCGAGCCCGAACACCCAAAGCTCTAGTTCGGCTTGATAAAGAATTAGTGGTGTTCGGGTTCGAGCTCGAAGCTCGACGAGCTTTACAAACGAGGCTCGTGTTCGATTCGTCAGGCGTTCGATGTTCGAACCGAGCGCTCGATAAGCTCGATAAATATAGTTGAATTTAAAATTTTAGGTGATTCTCGTTAATAGGCTCGTGCTCGAATGATTCGACAAGTATTCGGTTCGTTAAAAATCATACTAATTATATTTAAATTTTGAAATATATATAAATTATATTTAAATTTCAGGTGTTCGATAGGCTCAAGTTCGAACCGAGCCAAATACTACTATGTTCGAGCTCGGTTCGATTAAGTTTTCGAACTTAAAATTCAGCTCAGGTTCGAGTTCGAAAGCTCGTTAAGCTCGGTTTGTTAGGTTCGAAACCGAGCTCGAACTCGAATAGTTCGATAAAAGCTCGGTTCGTTTACAACCCTAGCTGCAAGTCAAGACTTTCAGAAAGAAGTGTTGTTAAATAGCATCCAGTAACAACATAGAATGTGCGGACAGTCATCAGAGGCCACAAGCACAATATGTAAGGCAGAGTACTGGCCAACTGCCAAATTATGTGAATTATAAAATTTGTGAAAAGAAAATACTCCATCCACCCCAAAACAAAAGAAGAAACTAATTTGCAATACTACTTTTAGTATTAACTGTTAAAAATGTGACTCTTTTATTTCCGAAAAACATGATTCTTTTCTGGGATGAAGGTAAACTAAAATACTAAATTCATCCTACATAAAGACTCAAATTTCAAGAACTCATATTTATCCCAAAAGGAGTGTATTTTTTAAAGTAAACTTCGATTTTAAATATAAAAATTGTATAGCTAAGTGACAAATGGTTTTTGTTTACTTGTCCAAATAGTCATACAAATAAGTTTTAGGCCATCAAGAGATTATTCAAAGCCTAAACTCTCTCTGACCTGAAATAATCTTCCAGCTTTCCACATTTTCTTTACGGTCCATCACAAAATAATACTTCTGTTTCTTTTATCCAGAAATTACTCCCTCCGCCCCCCTAATATTGGTACGGAAGGGTGTGGTGTGGTTTTTAAGAAAAGTAGAATTATGTGGTTGGTAATGAGTTGATAAAGTGGAAATAAAGTATGAATGAATTAGAGCCACACAAATGTTACCAAATATGGTATGAGACAATAATAAAGGGACATCCAAAAATGAAAAAATGGGACAATTATAGGGGGACGGAGGGAGTACTTCGTAGGTGGTTAGCATCATTTCGCTCATTTCATGCTAAATTTCAACCCCATATTTTTATTTTCAACCACAGTGTTTAATAAGGTGTTAAGTCAAAGCATGGAGATTATTTCATGACAGAGCACAAGTTTGACTTGTATTAAGTTGACTAAAGGGTAAGACTTGTACCTTAGGATGTTTTTACTTGGACTGGGATTTTCTAGACTGGTTTGGTCTGATATGGTCTAAACTAGTCTGGTCTGGTATATGTCTAGCTATGTGTATTTAACAACTGTCCAAGTTTGAAACCAGTCCAAGTAAAAACATCCTTACTCAAACATGACACTATTTTAGGACGGGGAGGGTATTATTTAGAATTTATATGAATGAGTTATTTGTGGCTTCTTGTCTGACCCAAAACTTGTACTCTTCCCTGCTAAAAAGGATTGGAAAAACTCTTTCTAGAGAAGATCCACAAGATAGCGTACATAGAATAACACCAAAACAATAAGCTCACCAGAAAGAATGAACTTAACATACACAAAGAAGTTCTCAGAGAGTACCAAGAACTGATACACAGCATGATGACCCAATTTGAAATACAATACACTCAGATTTTAACTATTACTAAGACTGTTGACACTTAGCAGACAATGGAGTACATGATGCGTCAGCCAGGCAAATGAAACTACGGGTCCATTTAGAACCTGGAAAATATGATGGGAAAAACTCTATGTCCATTATTCACAGACTAAGAAGACTAAATTGCTAAATGTGTGTAGAATGTTGCAATTTATCAACCATGGTTCACATTCTTGAGCATTTTCAGGATTCCATACATACCATTATACAAATATACCATAAAGCATGTACTAAGTTACATATGGAAATACTAGTACTGGAGTAATAATTTGGACATTTTGGGAAAGTAAGTAAGCATGTTAACTACAAAAAGACATCATCTGAAGCCAAACAAAGCAAGAAAAAGAAAACTAACCGAAAAAGTCAAATTCAACTGTGAGAAAGCATACCATCTTGGCTAACCAGAGGATAATCCCGTGTGCTAAGAGTAACGAACCAATCCCATCCACTATCCACCTTCAACAAAATAGCCACGGCCCTCAAAACTGCCGCAAGGCTTGTGGATCCCATATTGGTCACGGGATCGGGTTTCCCAACCAAATCCACATTCCCAAAAGCCCGAATTGCTGGTACTGACTTCACCATGACTGCCAATTTTATCCTCTCCTCCTCATTCCCATCAGCCCCAATATGCAACATATATCTATTCCTAGGGTGATAAACTGCTAACAATAGCCTAAACATCCTCTCTGCTTCTCCCTTACCGCCAGATATGTAGTAGGCAAATGCAGGAGGATGCCCGGGCCCGCGGTGGACAGTGGATGCAAAGGGGCTATCTGATGAAAATGCATAGTTAGATGAACTAAAACCAGTGATCGAGGACAACAATATGAGAGCTGATATGAATGCTGCGGAGAAGAGTGCATATAGCCATTTCTTCCCAGATCCAGAGTTCTTCATTGCCCTCTTATATAAGACCGGGAGCATGTCATTAGCATAAACAGAAAGAATTCAAAGTCAAAGTTTCTGAGAAAAGAAATGATTTTCGGAAGCCAGTTCAAGGTGTTGGTGACCAAGAAGATCGGGTTTGTCTTAAATACGAAAACTTGTACCACAACAATGGGTTTAATACGGATCACCCTTTCTGAGCTGAAACTTAAAAGAATAGAGATTATAAGAAAAGAAGGAAAGAAAGAAAGAGTCTTGGGTAGAAGTGTTGATGCTAATATATTCTGGGCTTCTACAAATCTTCGATGATTGGAATAATCACCTCAAATTTGAATAGCAAATGGCAATGCTAAATCAGAAGCTGCTCACAGCTTCGGGGGAGAAAGTTAAAATGTCTGAATCGGATGTGAAATAAACAAGAGAGAGAGAGAAAGCCTAGGTTTTAATCGATGAACGATGATGTTGGAACTTGGAAGTTCAGAGAAGGAAGGTGTTTTGATCGAGAAAACAGTACAGATTTTGATTTTATTCATTCGGGCCTTCTCGGCGCACCACAAAAAATGCTAGGCCTTATTGCTTCCATAAAATAAAAATAAGTTTTAATATTTCCTAAAATTTTGTGTGAGCTTACTATATCTGAAATATACTCAAATTCCTAATATGATTGGGATTACACATTATAACTGCAATCAAACAACTACTATAAAAATATTTGGAACCGATTATTAATGCTCTCATAAATTTTTTACAATCTTATTATAAAATGGAGGATGAATCTGAAAATTATCTAAAAACTTATTAGACTCTTGATTTTCAGACTTATGAGGTATTCATCTGTCCCACTATATATCTGTATCTCATTCTTCTTTTTTATGTGTTTCATTAAGTTTGTCTTATACAATATTTGTTAATATTTTGATGGTCATATACATACTTTTCATTCATCTTTATATTGAATAATATTGTCTTTATTCTATTTTCATCTAACTACGATATGACAATATCTAGACTGGACCAATAAATTTCAAAAGTTACAGGACTAAATTACAAATGTCGCAAATAAAAAATTAAAATATAGAGCATTACAGTTTGCCTACTAAATTACCTTTATAACTAAAATTACAAAATACTCCCTCGATTTTTTATACTTTAGTGACTAAAATTGTAATTTTAGTGATGATGACAATGTTGAAATTTTCATTGTAATGACTATAGTGATATACTTGTAGTGACTTAAGTCGCATTTTAGGCCACTTTGCATCAATATCACTAAATTAAACTCAAAAGACAAAAATATGACCAATTTTTATGTTTTTAAGTGACTCACTAGTTCAGAGTGACTCATAATCTATTAGTGACTTGTCACTATGAAATACAATATGATTTTTATCCAATTGCTCATACACAGTGATTAATTATATTTTCGTCCAAAAAATACAACTAATAATATTTTTGTCTGATAAAACTTTGTTAGTAATGTACATATCATTTTTTCACATGTTTATCCACAATAACATGTATGAAAATCCCTATTAAATAAACATCTAATAAAGAAGTACAGTAACAACATCCAATCCTTATCCCGAAAAATTTTGGGATGAGCTAACAGTAATACAATATCAATACATGATTTCAGAGCCAAAATGAAAAATAAAGATAAGAAAGATAAAAAGGTAAGATGTGATACAAAGTAAAAAAAAATATTAGGTAGAGATGATATATATATATATGATAATAAAAAAGAATATTTTTTCAAACGTTTACAAAAGCAATTTATTATATTTATCGTATGAAGCATCATAAAAAAGATATTCAATTCAATATATTTTTGTCAAAATGGGAGAACAAATGAAAATAGTATAACATTTATACACACAGAGTACATTTATACACAAAAAGTCATTCGATTCATTTTATAAAAAAAAAAGTTACTTGCACTTTAATTTAAATTGGATCAATTTTGAGTCATCAACCAAAATTACCTTTGAAGTGACAGCATAATGGGCTTGTCAATATACGGAGTAGCAATTTAATGAGTGCGCATGGCAATCCTTCGTTTAGATAACTTTGGTTTAAAAATGGAAGGGGCAAAATGGTCTAGCTAAGCTAAGGTTACAAATAGCAATAATGAGGGTGCGTCTAGCAATCCCCTATTCATTTTATATTTGTGAATTGTGAGGAGTTTTTTACGGAATAATGCTAATTAAATAAATAATTTCTCAAAATACTGTCCAATTAATAATAATTCCCAAAATACTGCTGGAATTAAACACGGTTAAGATAACTTCATAAAAGCCGTCACTTCGAGTGACGGCTCTTCTCCTGAATCGCAGAAAACACCCCTTCTTCCCAGTCGACGAACAAAGACGACCAACACTTCCTTCCCTCTGCACGAACGATGAACGACGAAGCAAGCGATTCCAATTCCGACCGGAACGCCTCCAAAGGAAGCTCAAATCAAACGCAAAAGAGACACGGTGTACCCAAGGTCGTTTGTACTCCATTCTACCGTCTTTTAAACGTTTGAATCGAGGTATTTCACCACTTTTGCTAACCCTAGGTTTTTTTAATTTAATGTTCGAAATTAGTGTTTTTTTTTAAAAAAAATCTTTGTATTTGATGTTATGAAATACTAGTACTACATATAAGTTCTTAATGTTGTTATTATGATTGAATTTATATAATTTGTATAGTTTGAATTATTTTTTGTGTTGGTTGGATTGATTTTGAATCAAAGGGAAAAGAGACACGGTGTACCCGAGGTCGTTTGTGCTCCATTCTACCGACTTTCAACTGTTTCAATCGAGATAATTCATCTATTTTGCTAAACCTAGGGTTTTTAAAATTTTTTTCGAAAATCGCTCTTTTTTGGATTATTTTTTTGTATTTGATGTTATGAGATATATAAGTTGGTAATTTAGTTATTATGCTTGATTTTATATAATTTGTAGAATTTGATTTTTTTATTGTGTTGGTTGGATTGAGTTTGATATATGGGTAGTTTGGAAAAGAGTAATGTAGCACATCATCAATATGTATCTATCTGATTTTGTAATTGAATAAAATCATAAAAATGATACATATGATTTAATATAGTGTGTTTGAATTAATAGTTGAGTTTTCAATGTGCGACATGAATAACATTTTTTTGGAATGATTTTTGATAGAATATGTCTCCAAACTTCCCCATTGTGTGTCATTGGGGAGGAAATATAATCGAGGAGTCGAACGGAATTCGCTATGAAGGGTGGATGTGGCTGAGTTAATGAATAAAATTTATACCGCCACATTCATCAATCGTATGAACAAGTTGGATTTGAAAGTTAAATATCCCGTTCATGGTGGGTCATACATGTAGATGTCTCTTGCTGACGACGAAGCCGTTACGGGGATGTGGACCTTGATCACGAATCTTGCTATGCATACTGATGGAGTTATGGAACAAGGCCCAGAGCCTAATCAGCCCAAGCCCCGAACTTGGACCCGTGGATCCAAGTCCACAACCTGGAGCCTGCCTGCCAGCTCAGCGGGGAGCCTGCCAGTCCGGTCGACCTCCCAGCCCGAAAGAGTAACGGTCAAACAATTAATGCGCTATTAATTATGTATTTAATTCCGTATTAATGTTGTAAGTAATTAGTCATTATTATCGGTAGCGGTTACGATTTGTATACGCCTATAAAAGGCGGGTTGTAACTCAGATTATGGGAAGCGAATTCTATATGCTATTTCTGGCTAACTTTCCATATTCGTACTTTCCTAATTCCTGCTTGAGTGTCGTACGTAGCTTTCCTAAAAGCCTACGAGCGTCCTATTTTGGACCAACATTGGTGCTTTCATTGAGAGTTTTATCTCGCATCACTTTGGTAAGAATTAACAAGAAAAATCCAGAAAAGGTCAAAGATTTCTAGCAATTTTTCATATCTGGAGAGGAGGTAAGAACAGAAGAATCTGGTGACCCGTAGCTTCACGACGGCAGCCACCGCTTGCCTAACCGCCCGCTGCTCACCCTTCCAACGTACCACTGACACAACGTGAGGAATCTGTCGATTGAAGTCGCCTGAGGTCTCAGCTCCCCCACTCCTCCGCTTTTCCGATCATTGCTAGCAACGTGGGGATCTCCGTCGTCGTTGAATTCTCCGAGCGTCGTCTTCGCCAGTATCTTCGTTGTCCGGTCGCTCACTACTTCCCTCCCCAACCTCGCCGCTCACACTTAGGTGTTGTGCCATTAAAGGTGGGTTGGGCGGATCTGGAATCCTGCTGTAGCGGTAATCTGCGATGGTGCTCTGACGGGATCAAGGCTTCGAGCTGCCACGATGAACTCAGCAACTTGACCGGCCTTTTCCTCTCTCCTCGCCTCCAAAATGGTTTGACGGTTCCTCTGGTTTCCGTCGATAAGGGAGTGGCTGATTAGGCGTGTAACTACACAAGGGCAGAAGTTCCAAGTTGGGCTATTAAGAGGGGTCATGCTAGGACTAAGAAGGACAGGCCACATGCGGCCCAATCAAACTCTTTGATGGTCCAAATTTCAGCCACATGCCCAAGCTTCAGCCCAATTCAAAGCTAAGTACTCCAAAGCTTTCTCCATATTATTAGTATGTGGAAATATATGATTTTAAAAAATCATAAATTGAAACATTTGAAAAGATATTTTAAGTGGTGTAATTGCTTTAACTCTTGTTGAGCGTGTGTAATTTTAACATTGAAAAACGGACTTATGAAATCCGATCACTCACGTACACCGGACGAGCACACACACTCGTACAATGGCCGAGCACACACACTCGCGCCACCGGGTCATGTCATATGGGTGTGGCGATTAATAAGCTCCAATATAAATGTTAATACCTCACACTCTTGACTTCTTACGGGTTCTTGTGTGCTCTTGCCTCTTCCTAGTGCATCACACTCCGACCTCGGGGGACGAGTCATCCGTTCAAAAGTCTTTACTTGCGGGTTCGAACTACTAACCTCGGGCGGCGAGTTAAACTCTTGTTAGGGGCCTAGAGCCACGCTTTTCCGAGCAATTTTGTCACTTAATTGACGTTCACATTTCTCGAAGAGGTTGATATACTTTAGTTCTCTAGGGTTGGATTATCCGTTCGAGTGAGGAGTCCGCCTCACTTACTCGCGGATTCAATCTTTCTTTCGAAGACTGGGTTGAGGCCTAACTTGGGAACTTGATGTCACTCTTTTCAAGTAGTGAGTCCGACTCGCTTACATACTGAGCCGTGGTTTGACACCAGGCCAGATGCTCTATTCTACACTAGTTTCTTTTATGTGTAGGTACAACTGAGTGAAGTGGGGGACTGAGGGTCTTACCGTCTTCAAGGAAGCAAATGACGAACCTGACGAGTCTGAGCTCAACGAGAAGAACAGTTCTAGCCATCCTATTCGCAGATGGCGACCATTACAATAAAGGCTGAGGATCTCACCTCTTGCTTCATCTTGGGGGCGTCAGATGTACTCTTTTTCCCTTCATTAGGATTTTTTCCCATTGGGTTTTTTCTAATGAAGGTTTTTAATGAGGCATCTCCCCAACATGGACAAGGGCGGGGATCTTCTAGTCTCG